ATATAGGGGTCTGAATAAATGCCTGCTTTCTGATGAAATCTCAATGGTTTTGAATTGTAATTTGGTTCATACTCACCCTTCTTTTTCTCTGGGGTGTGTCAAAGGGAATCTGCCCAGGTTTTTCATTGATGTTTCCATAGAACATGTGAAAGTAACTCATAAAATGTAAACACTCCACAGCGCCATGGTTAGGAAGAGAACTGAGAGACTAAATGAGCTTAAAGGTGCTTAAAAATAAGCTGTAAGTGCAAAATATGAATATTTAAATCTAAATTAATTATTCTAAGTCTTGGTGCCTTTAAAAACCCACAGAACCCAATATATTTCTGCAAATCCATCTAGAAAAAAACAATGGAAACAAAATAATTTTCCCAGCTCTTCAGATAAATCCTGGTCACATTAACTCTTTCAGCACACACATATTTCCTAAATACACAACATTTATTCAATAAATTAGGAGAATAAGTGGATTGGAGGTCTGTAGAGATAAAAGCTCTCTCTCTCTGTTCCTGAAGTCATTGGAAGAGCCTGTATATGCAATCAAACATAAATAAAACAAAACCCAAACTCTAAAGACTCAGCAAAATCAAAGTGGCCCTTTTCCACCTTTCCCCGCTAATAGCAGAGGCAACCTGCCCAGAATATCAGCACTGCAAGCCCCCATAATTGGGATGGGGAATTTCTCACTATTGCACCATTTAGAGCATTTTTTCTGCTTTTGTGTCCCTCTCTTCCTGCATGGAGATGCTAGGAGGACCCTGGCCACTTTCTTTACGCAATTTAAAAATCCCTGACTCTGTCAGGGCTGGTGATCACGTGACTGTGCTCCACAGGCCCCGAGCCCCGGCGTGTTGATGCAGAAGTATAAAGCTTTCGATTTTAAGGCATTGGAGCCTGTCACTTTAGAGATGGAGACTTTGGGAGCCTGTTGCCAAGGGACAGAAAGTGTCTCATAACTTCAGGTCTATATGTCATCTTTGTAACGGAATTGCCTCCCACCACATGAAACCATGCACTGTAATGCGGGAGAGATCACTGTAATGTGACCCCCTTTTTGGATGGATGAATGAATAAATAGATAGATGGATAGATGGATGGATGGATGGATGGATGGACGGACAACTTTATCTCCAAGGAAATTGCAGGTTTACGGTTCCACTACACACTTTTAGTAAGTGAAAAAGATATTTAGACTTACATAAACAGTGACAATAAAAAAATTACGCGGTAACAGTACAAATAATTTCAGGGAAACCATTGCATGGAATTCCGTAATGACAGCTGAAAAATAAATAGTATTGCTAAGCAGGTTGAGGCCAGTATCTGGGTAATGTGGTGGCAGATGTCGACGTTCTACACCAGCACTATGCGTCTTTGGGAGGAAGAGGAGGATGATGCACCCCCCAATCTTAGAAATGGTGCTGTTACTCCATCCCTCAGGCTGCTGAAGTTCCTGGGCTCCAGTGACACGGATTCACAGCCCCCACAGCTTTGCAGGCTCTCACATAACGGCAGCAACACTGATGAATGAAAACGCAGCAGTGAACATCACTTATTGTTTTTCATTTTTTCCCCCAGAAGAAGTGGACTGGACATGTGAGGTTTTAGTTCGAATTTTGCCCTGCTAATCTTTCCCACACCATTATTCCATTATTCTGTAAATAGAAACAAACTGGGCTCTGCAGGAAAAAAAAAATCCTAAATGCAGGCTTGCAATAATACGTTAATACATTTCAATTTTTTCCAATTAAAAAATACCCTGCCACCATTAATTACATCAGTGCAATTATTAAATGCCCTAAAGGATCCCCTTGCATATGCACATGAATATCTTATTTTTTCTCCACCGAGCATAATTTGGTTGTGACAACACAACACATCCACCTCTTCCTATCTCTAGCCCTGGTCCTTCTGTCAGAGACATGCTCCCTAGTAAACTTCATCAACGGATTGAAATAATCTGGGAACTCGCAGAGGTCTGTTATAGAAATGGAGGGAAAAGGTGTTTTATGCGATAAAAACCCTGAAGTGAACACTTACACTCAGGAAGTGCTCAGCAGAGGCCTCTGAGCAACGCATTCCTGGTGCATTTAGCTAGCTCTTTAAAACCGACTTTTTTTCGTATTGCATCATCCAGCTGGAATGGTAATGAGGTAGCGGGATTCTGTCGCAAGTCTTCTTAAGAAGGCAGAAGAGCATCCGAGCACCTGCCTGAAAGCGGCATCCCTGCACATCACCCACAAGGCCGTGGCACTCGCGCGGTGAACAGAAACGTGTGTGGGAATCTCCCGGCCTCCTCCCCGGCACGTAAACGAATCAATTCACAGGGTAACCGCTCTGATCATGTGACTGGAGCGAGGCAGACGGTGAGCTTTATAATGCTGCTGGATGAAAAGCTGTTTATCACCATAGTGTGTGAAGTGAATTTGAAAAGCTTTCAAACAGTCTTTTTCTGTGTAGGCAAACCTACAAATTCATTTAATTCTCTGAAAGCATCTGATTTTCACCTTCATGTGCTGCTGGTTCTTAGTATCATATCAAAAACTGAATAAATGGATTAGAGAGTCAAGGATGAAGTGAGTAAGCCTGGTCAATGGGTGACCCCGCCATCTGCAACGATAGTTGTGTGACTCAGAGGGTTAGGAAACTGTACTTGTCATCAGAAGGTTGCTGGTTCAGATCCCAGGGTTGGCAGAATGATGTCACCGTTGGGCCCTTAAACAAGACCCTTAACCCCCAATAACTCCAGGGTCTGGCTGACCCTGCCTTCTCAATTGTGTGTGTGTTGCTCTGGATATGAGTACCTGCTATACATATATATATATATACACAGTATATTGTAGAAGTGTGGTGAATACAGATATGCACCTGATCTACTTTAACAGATGGAAAGAAACCGAACAAATAACAGGGGCAGAGAGAGCCCTTACAAAATAATCTGCCAAACTATATTGAGGCTCGGTTGTTTGTTCCCCTTTAAAGTCGGTGCTGTAAGGATGTCACCAATGTGTCCGTAAGGTGACAGGCAGATCAGGATCACCGATGGCGTCTGACACGCGGCTCCCGTCTCCCAATGCCTTCCCCACAAACGAGCTCTGACACATCATAGATTCTCAGACAGAGATACCTGCCAGCCTGCCACTCTCTCTCTCTCCCCCCCCCCCACCCCCACCGTTTGCCCATACAGCCGGAATTTGTTCACCCCTCATGCATGAAAAGCACCCCATAGATTTTTAAAAATATGTTGTGTTTTTGTGCGTACTCCCACGCGACCTGCCAATCTGTATATCAACACACCTTTAAGAACACTGCATACTGTACCTTGCCATGCTGGATGAGTTTAAAAAGTTCTGCCAAAATAAAAAAGAGTGCATTGTAAGGTAAAGAGTGTAAAGCTTTCTTTAAAGATAATATCTAAAGTTTCATACTGCCTGAGATATTTATATTTCAGTTATTTAGCAGTAAATTTTATCCAAAGCCACATGCATTTTTTTTTTAAAGTAGGGTCAGACAATCCCTGGAACGACTGCAGTTTAGGGGCTCTCTCAGGGGCACAATGGTGACACCACTCTGCCAATCCTGGGATTTGAACCAGCAACCTTCCAATCAAACCTGCTGAACCACGAACTACCCTCAAATGATACCTTTAAACCTTTTTATTATTCCATGTATTATTATAATCGTTGGCGCCCCGGGTTAATTGGGCGACATGTATAGCATATAAGAGAGTAATGTTCTGATGCATTGTGGGATAGGACACTCCTCAGAAAATGGAGATAAGTGGGTTCATTGGGCCATTGGCTTGTTCTGATCTCTGCTCTGTAGCATTAGCACCCAGAGAACAGTGACTTCTGCTGGAGGTTAAGATCATTACGGCAGGGATAGTGCATGCATGCATCACTCAGTTTAACCCGGGGGCTCTCGTAATCAGCTTTGATATTTTTCTTGTAATGTGTGGGATAGATATGTGTGGGTCACCTGCTCACGCTCGGCTCTTCGCATCAGCCGCCGCTAAGGGAACCGTTTGCATATTAATAAGAGGACTGCAGTAGGATGGAGCCACCACTGCACACAAAAGTCTCACCCTGGGCTCTGTTGTGTTTTTGAAAAATCCTGCCTTCCGCTGCATATTTTATTTATAGATTTCCTTTCATAAAAAGTTCATCCTTCCAACATTCATCTTTGAGACACATTTAAAGGTTTCAGGTTTAAATGAAGAATTGGCCCAAAAAAACACATTAATAAATCAGCAAACAAATGAATCTGTGGAAACATGACTTGGGTGCTGGGATACCGTCTGGAAAACCGGCGAGATAATAATCTATCACTGCTTTTATCTGCTCACTGCTGCCTCACGCCTCCAGGGCAGTGGGTTCGAATCCCATCCCCCTCGTATGTTGTGGGGTTTGCATGTTCCTCCCTGTTTTGTGTGGGTATTCCCTGGTTACTCTGCACTTCTTCCACAGTTCCAAGACACACATTCAGGCTAACTGGCGTCTCTAAATGACCTGTAGCGTATAACTGTGCCCTGCGATACACTGGCCTCCCATCCAGGGCGTACTGCTGCCTTGTGCCCTGTTCTGCCCGGAACAGGCTCCAGACTCCCAGTGACCCTGATAGGGATGAGCAGTTTGCGACTCTGGATATATACAACCAGTTACATTTTGATTAAAAATAATAATGTGAAGCCTAACACAATAATCTTGTTGTGAATTACAGCCCTGGCAAAAGTATTTATTTTCAGTCTGGGCTGAATGTCATAAACATATGCATGGGTATAGAGGTGTGTGAAAAAGATCCACAATCATATCCACTGTAACTTGTTTTTTTATTATCACAAGTGTGTTATATATCATGACATCTAAAGAACCATAACTCCCAAAAGGACTAAAGATAACGTCAGAATTATATATAAGCAGATGAATACGTTTAACGATCTTTAGGATAACACTACAGTTTTTCCAAAGATCCTGATATCATAGCTTAAAAAAGGGACTTACTGAATTTCGAAGTTTGTGCCACTGCAGGCTGCAACTCATCTTCATCTTGAAATACTTCAATTTTACAAATGGGGTATTCACTTTGTCGGGCATGCACACAGGCTGAAACATCTTGTAATTCACGCGGTATGCGAGGTTTTGTCTTTTTGCAAAATTTCAGGCACACTCCAATTAGAACATATGCGTCCTGAAACAAACCAGTTAAGCGTGTTTCAGGGCTCAGATCACCGCTGTCTTGCAGAATTTATTAGTCGGGATCCCGCTGCTTCATGTTGATGACGATTTATTGGTGAATAGGTGGTACGCAAACATGACCACCAGAGGGGGCTGTATGACAACCCTGACCGCCGTCGTCTGCACGGCTGGTCGGCCGTCATGTCGGATGCCCTTGATTTGACCGCTGATCAGAGTCATTCGTGACAACATACACGTCTCCTCCGTACCCCCCATTAAATACGTATTTTACTTTGGTCTGAGATAAATGTATTAGTACTATTATTGTTATTTTCATTTATATATGTGGGCTAAAATTGTGTGCACTGGGAACGGGGCGAATTTCAAACGTAACCACATTTTCTTGAACTCTTAACGAGGGTACGCCGGGTGATCGAGTCGTGGAAAACGAAGTTGAGGACAGAAAAAAAATCAAGTTCGTGGAAGCAGTACGATCTAAACAAGAAATCAGAGTTACATGTTTGTAAAAACTGAAAAATATGACTGCAAAGCATTGCATGAACAACTTGTGAATTTTCAAAACTGTCTTTTGTTTCTTAGTGCTGGTAATTCGAGGGTAATATCTGAAGGACATTAAGGTGAAATGCATCCCCCTCCCCCCCAACATAACAACTGGCCCCAGTCTGCCCACCCCCCTCCCCCAGTTGAAATGGCGTAGAACTGCCACTGGAGTCTTTCCTAAGACGAAAATCAGTTTATCAGAAGAAAGATCGTGGGGCAAACATTTCATGCCCTTTTCTGGACAAACGGTTTAAAATGTTTATTACGTTTGTACAAAATTACTAGTCAATAATAAGAAATACTGAATTTTTAAAAATGCATTTCAATCCAAGTTTTACAACACATAATTTAACACTAAATTTTAATGCCTTGAAAGATTTTTTTAATGTGAAGGTAAAATTGTAGCCCTTCTCTGGTATAACTACCATCAGAGTTCTTGTTTTCACTTCCTTTGACTTTTGGTGATGTTTCCAAGGTGATTTTTAATATGGAATGTGATTAATTAGTTAATTTGTTTTAGTCAAATAATAATGCTGATATATCTTTGGGGCAAGGCCATTGGGAAGGGAATGTGTAAATGCAATGCTCGTTTTACATACTTAGGGCTGATATTGACATTTACAGGAAAGTGAAACACAATGTCAGTACAGGAATAGGTTTCCTGGTAATTTCAGGGTAGGCCTAACTGACAAGGCCGAACCATAGAATGTGGACAGGATTTCATGCAAATGGACAGGATTTCATGCAAATGCAACTCTCACTCGCTCTCTCTCTCTCACACACTCACAATAACACACACACATACACAAAGCATCATCTGGCTTGAAACATATAAAGTGAAGAGATGCCACTCAATTAAATATTTACAGAACCAAAACGTCATTAAATTGAGTATATGTGTTGTGCCATCTGGCCCTTCATGGCGGTCGTTACCCACATGGTAACGTGTATGTGACCATGTCTAGCATGATATGAATATAAATGAAAGAGGGTTTATCTGTTTATCTGCTTCCTACCCCAGAATCTCTCAGCAGTCAGAAAATGAATAGAAACAACTTCTTCACTAAAAGATTGTCTACTTGCTTGTAAAAAGATAGTTATACTATTAAATATTTAAAAAGTGAAACTGATTAAATTAGATTAATTTAATCAATATGACAGCCTGGAATATACAGTGCAACCCCCTTTTTCTACCCCAATCTGTGAGTGTATTATTGCCCTCTAGTGTTTATTTGTTATATATCAACTGCCAAAAGGAAGAACACCATAATACACTGCAATCTTTTTCTCGAACGAAGGCTTGAGGCTGGATTACACATTATTTACATTTACATTCAAAACAAAAGTCCTCAAGGCCTGACACAAATCCAGTTACTTAGAAGACAAGACAAAAACACAGGTCAGGTTGGGGAGCGTGTAGTGGTGCAGCGTGTTGCCACACCCACCACATGACTAAACATCTCGGGATCCCAGTTGGTAACCCCCCCAGGCGAACATGTGGTCCAGTCCCACCCTCCGGAAATGACCGTCTATCTGCCGCAATTAGGTGTTACGTGGGCGGCCCCTTAGCCTGGTTTGCCGCACAAGTCCTTAGCAATGTGGATCCTACGAGCCAGATCACCCTGCCATAACAGACGCTCGCTCATAGTGCAGATAATGTGCCTCATTTCGATTGAGCAACCGCTCATTCGACACAAAGTCAAACCAGCGGTACCCAAGGAGTCTCCAAAGAGACACAGTACTGAAGGAGTCCAGCCTCATTGGATAGCATCTATGTCTCGCAGCCATACAGCAAGACAGGAAGCACCAGGACTTCCCAGTCTCTCTACTGACTTGAATGTCACTGCCGAGGTAAGTGAACCTCTTGCTGTGGTCGACATTCTCTCCACAAACAGACACAATGCTGGTGGCTGTGCCCAGGAGGTCATTAAAGGCCTGGATCTTTGTTTTTATCCAGGTCACTTGCAAGCCCAGACACTCAGACTCCTCACTCATTCTCTCAAGAGCCCCAATCAGAGCCTCCATTGACTCCGTGAAGATCACAGCATAGTTGGCAAAGTCAAGATCAGTGAATCTTTCTTCACCAACAGATGCCCCACAGTGGCTGGAGCCCACGACCCTGGCCAACGCCCAGTCCATGCGAGCACTAAACAGAGTAACAGAGTTGTGCGCAAAAACACACAAAAACCAAGAAAATAACAACTCATTCTCCCTTACACCTGAACCTTGATCATTGACCAATCTCTGTTCTTTTTAAGAACTGGATTGGATTTTTTTTTCATTCACAAAGTCCTTGATCATCAAGTGCAAGCAAAATTCAGGGGTTGGACAATGAAACTGAAACACCTGGTTTTAGACCAATAATTTATTAGTATGGTGTAGGGCCTCCTTTTGTGGCCAATACAGCAACAGTTTGTCTTGAAATCACAGATACAAGTCCGGCCAGAGGGATTGTGAGCCATTCTTCTTGCAGAACAGTGGCCAGGTCACTACGTAATACTGGAGGAGGAAAACATTTCCTGACTCACTCCTCCAAAACTCCCCAGTGTGGCTCAATAATATTTAGATCTAGTGACTGTGCAGGTTGTGAGAAATGTTCAACTTCACTTTCATGTTCATCAAACCAATCTGTCATCAGTCTTTCTTGTATATTAAATGCATTATCATCCTGATACGTCATCATCTTTAGGGTACAATGTTTGAACCATTGGGTGAATGTGGTCCTCAGAAAAGTTTGGTAGCCCTTGGCAGTGATGCACCCATGTAGAACAGGTAGTGTGTATTGGAAAGGCTGAGGTATTGTAGCCCAAACCATCACTGGTCCAGTGCACTCTGGGTCCACAACATTCTGGATAGTAAGTCTCTTTGGGGCTTTTGCATATTGTAACTCTCTTGGATGTGGGAAAGAAAGTGAAGGTGGACTCATTAGAGAACAATACATGTTTCACATTGTCAACAGCCTAAGATTTGCGCTGTTGGCACTATTGAAACTGATGACTGGCATTGGCACAAGTGACCAAAGGTTTGGCTATAGAAGCCTGACCATGAATATTAACCCTGTGGAGCTCCTGATGAACACTTTTGGTGGAAACAGGAGAGTCGAGGTGCACATTTAATTCTGCAGTGAGTTGGGCAGCTGCAGGTTTATGTTTTTTGGATACAATCCGGGTTAGTACCTGGAAATCCCTTTCAGACAGCATCCTCTTGCGCCAGTTACTCCAGTTAGATGTGGTCTGTCCTTGGTGGTGGTATGCCAACATTACCCTAGATACTGTGGCTCTCTGTACACCAAAAAGATTTACTGTCCTGGTCACAGACACAGCAGCGAGACACGCACCAACAATTTGTCCTCTTTTGTCCTCTGATATGTCTCCCATTATTGTGTGTGGATTGCAATATTTTATGTACATCTGTTTTTTTGTTCTGCTAATTCAACCCTCAGACTCTGCTCTTATTGATGGGATGTGCAGTGAAGATTGGCCATTAGGCTGTGCATATATAGGCATGAAACCACAAATACTCTTTTTGCCAGTATTTCATTTTCATTGTCCAAACCCTGTATGTCCCCTTAAAACCCCGGAGTATCACCCCTCCCCCATTCATTTCATGATACTCTGATCTGAAGCACATTTAAAAACAGGAGTATGATACAATGGCTGAAAGCCTCCTTAAGTACCCCTCAGAAGGATCACGATCTCCAGTTAAACATGGAAGCATTCACATCCATCCCAGTACAGTTCAAATATACTTCTCTGAACTTTCACATCGAAAAGATTTCTTTTAAACAAACAAGTACAATGCACATTTCTATAATTTAATGAATATAATAAAATAAGTTCTTACAAGTCTCTTCCCAGCGGAGGCATTTCTGGAATGTTCTTTTCAGCAGCTTAGCAAAAAGATGTTATCATTAGCCGTTAGTGTTTAAAAAAAAATCCAATGATAAACAGACATGCCAGACCTGATAAGATTGTGAAACCAGTTAAATATTATTGCAACTTTTTGGGAAATAAAAAAACACAAGCAACTCATGAATGCACGTTCAGCTATAAAGTCTTCCTTAAATTATATAGTCGACTTTGTGTTTTCATTGAAATTATTATTGAGTCTGTCTCCTGGCATTCTTTCTTACCGTCTTCCCTTTTTCCGGTTTCATGAATTTTGTAGAAATGATATATAATAGATCACCACACACTCTTGCCAAGTGCTTTAGGGTGGCTGATGTGAATGGTGCTATACAAAATCGATTAAATTGAAATTAATTGATTTTAGTTAGTTATTAATGAGTTACTAAACCGACAGCGCATGAGTCAGTCAGAAGAGGAAGTGAATCATTTTTATTGCATGCTTCTACACTTAATAATGGGGGTGGCAGGCTGGCTCATAAGGGCCCCTTTTTAACCCCTTAGACCCTGCTTGCCTTTGACAGGAGCGAGCCATTAAGGCAGTACAGCAGTGAAGACAGAGCAGGTCAACGTGCAGCTGAATGGAATACCACTCCATTAAAAGCACCGCAAGGATGTAATATGTGTGTACATTTACTATGAAATGCTAAGACCCAAACGTTCATTCATTCATTCTCTCTCTTCTCTTCTGCCTAATAAACACAGCTTTTTACATTCACATGTCCCAAATAACCACATCCCATGGTAATACACCCTGAACAGATTAACTTCTAATTAACAATTAATCAGCTCCAGGTGCTTAACAGACATGTCTGCTGTCTTCTCGTCTTCCCTCCATACCTTCCTATTTCGTACCGAATTTTGGGGAAGATGCTGGTAGCTATAATTAGGTAAACTCGGAAAGGGAATTTTGAAGAAGTTTATGATGGAAAAAAATTTCTAGACAGCTCGGCTGCAGCAACTCGGATTCCGCTTTGCCAGGAGAACAAGTTTATGCTTTTCCAGGGTGAAGACGGAGAGAAAAGCCAGAATGAGCTGTCAGTGGTGGCAAACGAGGCCAAGCTCATGTTGTGGCTAACATTCATCTCCTCCTTCTCCTAACCAGAGCTGGCTTTAATAAAAACCCAGCAAATTAGCAAACTGAAAATTGCTTTGAAAGAAAAAAAAATCAGATAAATGTTAGAAGCAGTGGGGTAATAATGGCACATCTGAAAGATGTACACAAATGTTTATTAACCTACTTTCCGACTCATAACAACAACTGAAAGATGTACAAAAATGACTATTAACTTACTTTCCTGACTCACAGCTAGTGATTCTGTAGGGCACTGTTTAACTGGTGGGTCAAGACCCAAGTAGTGTACCATTTTAGCTGGACCATTTTCATTGGTGTTTGGTAAAAATACACTTATATATTTTAAAAAACATTTTTTACAATGTATAACTTTTTGGTTTTCTAAAAGGACATGAACATACTGTGCTACTGTTACTGCACAATTTTTTTGGAAATAAATTTGGGTCATGATTTAACGACCAAGGAGTAATGTGGGTCCTGAGGCTGAAGCAGTTGAGAAGTGCTGCTGTAGTGGGCTTTGGTCCCATGAGGTTCCGGCACTCGATGCTCCCCCAGGCTGGTTGTGGCACCGGCTGCACGCTCTGCTTCAGGCCTGCCTGCCTGCCTGCCTGGCCTCCTTACCGGATAGCGCCCCATGTTTCCCACGTCTGTCCCCCCGGCCCACCCTCTCACCCGCTGACGGCAGAGGCGCGGTCGGCGGTCAGCAGCGTCCGGTCCTCGCTGTCGGCTGGCCAGAACACGACGGAGCGAGAAGAGCCGGACGTGGCCATGATGATCTGGCCCCCGGGGCGCACGTGCGAGACTACGTCAGGGGGCCCGCTCCCAATGGACAGGATGGAGAGGGGAGATAAATGAATGGACCGAGCAAGAAAAGAGAGATACAAAAAAACCCATAAGACCTTACACGGCCTCCCGAAACCACAATGCATTTCTATTTTTTTCATTCTCAACATAAGCACCGCAAAGTAAGATTTTCAAGGTCAGCTGGATGAAAAAACCAGACCATCTGTCCTTTTCTGCTACCCCGGGGATGTCCTGGAGAAGGAGGAATACAGGATCTGACCCCTTTGCGGAGGGAGAAGTACATATATGTGCATGCATGTTACCCTAATTTATCCCCAAAAGTGAGCAGCTGCACTGGATTTATATTTAAGAAACAAGTAGCATTTTCTTATTACTTCCTGCCAGCTATGGCTGGATAATTGCAAATACAATACTTGGATTGGCACCTGATTACTTACCAACATGTGAATCATCCATACTATGACTGTTAGCCACACTTAGCGGCCATTGTACATTAAGTGCTTGTCGCTTTGTTTCTGTTTGCCTGCCCAGCCCCCAAATCACATGACCCACCTCTCAGCACTAACTAGCACACCACTGATCACACATGTACAACATTCAGGGATTTCAGCTTTCACACAGATCACATGACAATTCACAGAGGGTAGGTGTTGTCATGACAACTTGCTGGACAGGGTTGCTGGGGCACCACTCCAGATTATGTCGTTTTCCATGACGTGTCATTGAACAGTTCTTCACTGTAACGTACTTCATGCTCATTTGCTTTCTGATTTATGACATATACACATGCAGGTTTCTTTTTGAGGTGACCATTGACCTCTGACCTTGTTGTTGGCAGAATCAGTACTCAGCAAGATGCTGGCCCACAAACTGAGAATAACATTACTGTCACTTTACATCGCAAACTCCTTGTCAACACTTCGGTCACACGCCAGTGACACTTTGTCAGAGTGTCTCCTTCCTGGAACATATCTGGAGGGCTGTAGTGGGCTCCTGCATCTCATTTCAGGGAAGCGATCCCCCCCTTTCCCATAAACGTCTCTGCCAGATTCTCCTGGGAATGTAACCCGACCCAAACCTTTGCACACATTTCAGTGTTGGGATTAGTCAGGGTTTATTTAACCTTAAAAATCTCTCCCTGAATTTGCAAATTCACCAAGGTTTCCCCTCTGTGGTGGATTTTTTGTGCGAACACCTCAAATGGACAGGAGATTCTGAAAAATGAGCTCACCCCGTCACCCACTAAACCCTCACAAACAGGATTTATTGCTCATCTACTGTTGGTCCTCTGTGATCAAACACATTATTTTGGTAACACTTTCCTTGACACAGCACAAACAATATAGCATTATACTATTACTTATGTATTAATTAACCACAAGCCAAGTCATAGTTACATACTGAATTCATGTTAATTCATCATTAGTGAATCATGAAGCACCAGTATCAAGTGGCAACTATATTCATGATTTGTACTTCAGTAGTAACTAAATTATTATTTATATATTAGTATTTGTGCCCCATCAAGTAAAGCATTACAATTATATTTAATATCTCCCACTAAAAAAACTGTAGGTCTATTAGAGAGGGAGATTAAGAAGCTCTGATGATAAACAGTATGGATTCCTCCAGGGTCAAGAATATTCATTTGTTTTCAATGAACCTGACTGTTCAAAGATCATATCAAACATAAACGCTGACATTTCATATTCATACATCTGACACAACAATCGTACTGACGCTTTTGTCTTTTTTCAATGTAAATAATGTACCAAATTGCATAAGGCTGTAAAACCAGGCAGATGGCCTATAAGACTGATTATATCGTTTTTGATCTCAAACTCGCAAGTTAACTCTTAGCAGAGAGGGCAAAAAGGAAATTATTTATAAATATTGGCCTCACGTGATGTGTTGTTATGAAGGATATAACTATGCAAACATTCATACTCAATGAGCCGAAACCACTCAGCCTTCTTCATAAGCCAAACCCATCTAGATTATCTTGTGGTTGCAACACCCAGTTGGAAGTTCATTTGAAAGAATGGCCCATGGTTCAGCAGTAGGCTGAGCATGTCACATGATATACAAGTTCCGCCCCGTTACTCATATACGGACAGCCTCTGTTCATGCGAGTCCACTCTAATTCAGCCATCGCTTTACATTACTGCTATTAATACCAGCTCCCTGCCCCAGAGCCTTCCTAAGCACACCACCTTGGGAGGAGTGGCTCTAGACCAAACAATGTGACAATTGTGAAATGTGTTGTGTGTTGAATACAGCCTGGTAGCAGAACCTTGTATACAGATGCTTTAAATCTTTAGCATGTGCATTGATGGAAGATGGTGGGGTCTGGGCCTCAGGGGCACAGTGACAAAGCCATACAGAGTCATCTCCCACCTGCCCCCCCTTGTCTGCCCCTGGAGAAGCACTCCATAAAAGGCCTTGGTATGCTCTGCTAGGCTTTGCTGCACTAGGGCAGGGATGACTCTCCTCTCCGGGGTAAGTCTGTTTACAGGGTTTCCATGGGGAGAATGGTGTTGACATCACAGCTGAGCACGAATGTCGCTCTGCCTCCTTAAGTTCACACACATCACCGCACTCATCAACTTACACCCTTGTTCGTTTGCTGGGTGTTGAGGCGCAAATAACAGCACCGGTTAACCAAACTCAATTCTGAACTAGTATTAAAAAAATTTAATTAAAAAAAAGCACTGTACCTTACCTTTGTGACCGAGGGATCCCAAGCATCTGTATCACAAAGCAGGATTTCTCGCTCTACCAGATAACTTGTCGAATTTAAGGCAGACTAGGCTAAATGTCAATGAAGATAAAGTCTGTTTAAACTGGGAGTACCTTAAATCTGACAAGTTATCCAGCTAAGCAAGAAATCCGGCTTTGTGATACAGGCCCTAGGTGCTTGGGATCCTCAGTAACAATGGTGAGGTACAGCCCTACACAACAATCCTGTCAAACATGCAAATAGACCTGGAGCCACAGACACTCAGCCGTTGGGTAGCCTTGATATTGGGACTGGATTCCCACAATAAAAATGTTAACCTTTCATAAGAACATACCTATGTCTTTGTGGTGATTTAAGAGCAGAAACATGACCGGTCCATAGCAGGCAGAAGTGGGACAGGGACTGCAGTGCCAGGAGCTTGTAGTGAGGCACAATATCAGACCATCGAGTCCCAAAAAGGGAACAAAGAGGATCAAGAGCAGAGCGGATTCCACTGGGCCAAAGGGAAGGTGCCAAGAATGAAGGAGATGGTAGTGCAGTGAGGTGTAATCGACAAGCCACACACACACATATACACACACAATTGTATTCATATCTTTGTGGGGACCATTCATTTCTAAAACCCTAATCCCAACTATGATAACCAGCCCTAACCTTAACTGTAAGCAATCAAACAAAATACAAGACTTCTGGCACTGTTAGATTTTACTGTTGGAGTTTTGACTTGTGGAGACTAAAAAAAAATGGTCCCCACATCATCAAAATAACAGGTTTTTCATCATATTGTGGGGACACTGGGTCCCCATAATGTAATATGCACACGATCCCACGCACACACCTCCCAAAAGCCCAGCCAGAACATCAATGAAAGTTAATAGTGTGTAAAAAAAAAAAACAAGTTTATTGGAGAATGAGTATTATAACCTTGTTTTTTGGCAAACAACAAAAAATAAAAATGTCAGTAACCTCTGTAAGTGAAACAAAAATATACAATTAAAAACTGGGGGGGGCACACGTACACACATACGTACACTGTATTCAAGGAAATAATCTCCAAACAGAAGCAAACACACTGGTACTCTGTGCTTATCTGTATGAAGAGTGAAGTACTCTTTCTGTATACAGCTTCCACCTAGAACATCCTCAAACCCGGCAGCCTGTGGTCATGCCTCCTGGGGAACCATGGGGTTCACCTCTCATGGCAGCGGCTGACGGAAACTTTTGTTCTTTTTATGAGAATTCAAGATTCGAGGCAGCCAGCTGGACAGATCTGAGGATGGGACACTTATCATTCACAAGCTAAACACTGTAAATTGACAGCCCTTACAGACTCCTTCCCACTCAATACAATTCTATACAATTAAAAAACGTTTCACGCATTTCATCATCAATGGCTCAAGGCACCAATTTGTACAGTGACCCACTTGGCATTCATTCAACATACCAATTAGCACAAGGTGTCTTAGCACCCGAAATGAGCTCTTAACGAGCTCTATCCACAGACAGGCTTTTATAGAACAGTACCACACCCACCTGGGTGAAATTTGTTATTAGCATTAAAAGCAAGAAAAGTTATAGGCCTGAGATCCTCTTGAGCTTGGCTAGAACATTCCTCTGCAGGGTTTCCACGGAGATGCTGATCCTTGCTCTATAGCAGATCGGCCTTTGTTAAGGGACAAGGGACAAAAACCCATACACCAATGTGCAAATCTCTGCTGCTCTGCTCCCAGACCAGCTGGTCGACAGCCCTCCTTCTCCACCGTAGACTTTCCATCAAATACTGCTCCATTTAAAATGTTTGGTGACATTTGATGACACGAGTCAGAATGTCAACAGGCACTAAGGTAAATAGCTCTTCCTGCCTCAATCATCTTCCTGAGTTCAGTGCAATAAGATCCATGGATGGAAGGAAGACCTCGACGGCCGTCTTGAGAAAGCACACATCCCCTCAGTGTCCTTGTGGCACAGCACATCCAGAAGACAAAGAAACATCAGTCCCTGAACCAGAATGGTTAATGTTCTTGGTTGACCAATTAAAAGCACAAGACTGAGGTCTCATCATAAATCGGTACTCCTGGTCTCAGTCCATCTCGATGTCCATCAGCTTGCTTTGGGAACGGATGCCACCGTGCTGGAGGCAGCGGGCGAAGATGTACCCAATGAGGACAGAGAGGAGACCAACAACCAGGGAGATGCCACAGCCGTAGAGCAGTGGCATCTGCACAGACCTCCACACTGTGCAGCAAACACATAGGGTTAGACACTCATGGTAGTGGGGACTCTCACTGTAAACACCGGAATTAAAAATAAAAAGATGCACTACATGACTATCAGTCTAGAGATGCATACGTACCTGAGAACTTGACTGTGAGAAGGACCTTTTCTGAGACCACCTCATAACCCTTTGTAGAAGTCAATGGGGAATTTTGTAGCCAGGAGGTTACCTTGCAATGGTACTCCCCCGAATCGCTATGCTGGAGGTTGTTAACAGAGAACCTGTAGGTCCAAGGGTTGATCTGATACATCTCGCACCCTTTCATCTCACACCGCTGGGACTTATTGGGTAGACCCTGACGCTTGCTGATCAGCAGGTCGGAATTGTCCGGGTCTGAGGTGGAGGTTCGGTAGAACTGTACTTCGTATTGGTCTGAAAAAGAAGGTGCCGGAAATTACGGAGAGCCAGAGAGTGCTTGCAAACCTGGGATAATTAACATAGCAGGATACACAAATGGATAATCTGCGCTGTGTCTGCTGCAACGCTGTTCATTCTTTCCCTAAAAATGCACATGATCTGGCAAGCACGGTGTTCCTGTGTGGACTTGTGCTATGTACATACCTTTTTCCAAGAATGACATGGGGGAGGGGATTCCTTTTAAAATCACTAATCATTTCTACATTCCAGCCATACTTGACACTGGAGTTTAACTCTCAGAAAATGGCATGGATCTAGATTACACACTTGTACGGCAATTCGGACATCCCAAAAAACTCCCTCACTTGAGGCATTAGTAAACGGTGCTTCAAATCTACCAAGCATGACACTAACAGAACATTCCAGAAAAAAAAAACCTGAACACATGCATTTTAAGTAGTCTTGCCTCAGTCACTTAAGTTAAATTTACTCAAGGAAGTACTTTTGTTATTAAACAGATTACAAAAATATACAATCTTAAGGAAAAGAGGCTATGTATGGGCAAGACTCTTAATCCAGTTTGGTTCTTGGATAAAGATCTTAAGCACATGTTAAATGTGGCTATGCTGGAACATTGCAGACTGTCAGTAATCCCTTTGGAAGTGTAAATACAGGGTGTTTGATGGTGAAGAGACTGGGTCACCGGGATTACGGAAGACTGAAGGCATGACACGTCACCTTCAGAAGCGAGTCAGGTCAAGACATGCCGTCAGGTCTGAATGAGACCACAATCCCCGCTTCAGGAATAATTGCGACGGGGCATGCAGGAAGCACAAAGACACTGACGGGCCATGGCCTGGTTCTGAAGACATTGCCAGGGCTCCCAGGGACGTTATGCCGTGACGTCAAACACACAGAGCGGTTCTGGCATGACCCGTGACGCTGGCACCCCCCGACACTTTCAAGTTAAATGCTTCACCGGTATAACAATCACATTTGGCTCACTGCCCACCCCGCACGGCTCAGTGATCACTATACCATCTTACATGACAAAAGGAGAATCTGGGAGTCTATCTTTTTCAGTTGTGGGGGTGTGGCCTGTCGGTCTGTACTTGCCAAGCCCCTCCCCTTCCTGGCATGCCTTTCAGAACATGGCAATGAGGGCCTATTCTTTGGCTAATTCCACCATCAATGTGTTTATTTAGGTATTTTATTGCAGGAAGTACTTTAAAAAAATGAGCCAATTGTACACAGAAGTCCCAAAGCGCAGGTGCAAATATGCCTTTCTGTTAATGTTCTCCGAGGAAGGTCAACATCAGTTTACTGCTGGGACTTTTACCAGGACGATAACTGAATAACCAGGATCAGGAAGGACAGTGTCAGGAATGCTTTCCTTTCATGGCATGTTTTTGAATGGAGCTTGTCACACGTGACTCTGTATCTACCTGGCAGAATCTCTCTCTCTCTCTGACTACTCTCTGACTACCCTCTGACTACTCTCTGAGGGATGTTTTATTATTGGTGGGGGAGGCTGGATGGTAGACAGACCCAAGAGCCTTTAATAAACTCGAACTGAGCTCATCATACGGGACCCTCATGGCTGCCGAAGTTGCAGAAGGTATCTCATGATGGACGCCTCCGGCAGGATAACAAATCGCTGCAATGGTGCAGCCAAATGCGGGAGGATTCGCTATCAGCTGGGTACAGAAGCTGGATTCAGATAAATATATTTATTTACCTCCCTCTCTCAAGCATTAATGGTGCAATGAGAGTTAGAAAAATATCTGAAGTTCCCCCCCAGGATTGAAACCGAATAGCCACTATTTAGAGCAGTGTTTCACTCTGCAAAGCTTTGGGCTTTTATGGGAGATCATAATCATTCTGTCTTTAATGTACAGCCAAGACCTCCATTCCACACGTCTCATCCAGCCTGGATCACAGTGTTCTCAAACAAAGCACCGATACCGTCAACTTCACACTGCAAAAAGAATTAAGTACTGGGAATGAAAATAGTAGTATGTTTAGCGTAGTCCCAAGCCCCTCCCCTTGCAGGGAAAACCAGCCTGATTTGTACCTCTGCAATCTCTACAGACTGGTAACGGTGACCCACTAAGGCTCTGTACACAAATCAAGTTCATTGCTCATTAGCACACAGCGTGCAGCTAACTCCCAAAGGCCAGCATCAGCCGGGCTGCGAAAGCTGCTCAGTGTGTGGTGGGGATATTAATTATTGTTCTAAATTTAACATGTTGCTGGGGATGGTATAGTAAAGCCCTGCAACATACAAGCCAATGACAAAACCAACCACCCCACCCCGGCAGAACAAACTTATAGCTTTACATGTGACTCCATGTGTTTGCAAGAAGCCTGGTTTGTGAGCCACAGTCCAGGAATGTTCTGGAGAATCAGTTAGTCAAACGGAGGGTGACTGCCTGAGGGGTGGCAGGAAGAAGTGCCTCTGCTGCTCCTGTTTGTGATGTGGCACCCAGCTCTCATGACCCAAGGCTTAGTCATCAGCAAGTATACCTACTAGTGTTAGCAGGTCCGTCCTGGGCAGTCATGCTGCAGACCATCGTGGCTGAGTCTCCGGTGTAAGTTGACCTTGAGTCCAGGCGAATGGAGACATTTGCGGCCAGATCTGTCGAGGGAAAAACACGGATACAGAATGATAAGCACGTTGGCTGGTCACAGCATTGTCCTGCAGCTGCCTGCTCAGCCAAAGACAAGCTCTTCTGGATCTTAAAGTGGCTCCATAACATTCCTGCTAATCACACTGAGAAGAAAGGCGCAGATTCTGCCTGGCAGTCGCGGGTACTCCTTAAAAACCCACGATGCTGGATCATTAGCTCAGTGCACCAGAGCCCCCCCCCCCGCCCCACCATCCTTTCACCACAAAAAAAGCTGTCTAACTCAAAGCCGGCACTGTTCAGTCCCTGTAGCAACGCCACACAGATTCAGGGGTGAAGTCAGTCCGCCA